ACGTTCTAGCTAGAAACACACCACTTCCATCACTCACTGAACACACTTGGTTAAATAAATCTGGGTCTTTGCTTTTTTACAGCAGCACCTTTTCAGTATATGCTGGTAAGCGGCTCATTTTACGGGAAGGTAGAAAAATACAATTTTTTATAGGAGGCACACAATACCAACTGAACACCGCATGCACATACTTCTGAATCAGAAGGGGCTGATGGTGGCTTGCTCAGAGCATAAGCAGAACATCCTCCCCAGGTCAAGAATTTACTGGTTTCTATGGAAGAATGAGCACTGCACAGGCTCACAAGAAAAATCCTTTCCTGTACTCTCACACTGCTGCATTATTTCTGACTCTGACATTTTATTAAATTTTGGTTCTTGGATCTTAGGTTTGAACATCCAAAGAATAAGCAATGGACATCATGTAAGTTCTAGAAAGGACTACAGGTAAATAAGTCAGCATTTCTTTCTCTCACACAACAACACACAGGTGCTATGTTTTGTGTCACCATCTTGTCTGTCCTGGATTTTCACTGGGATCATCAATATTTATATTATACTTACAATGTCACGATTATTTCTGAACTACAGTTTTAATCTAAGTCCTATTATAAATACCTGAAGTTCAAGTGAAAGACTCCAGTCTCTGTGCCTAATGTTAAAGGAATTGCAAATTCAAAAGGCTCAATTTAAAAAAGAAAGAAGGAAAGAGAGTAGCATTTTGGGCAGAAGAGCAATGAAGTTCCTGATTATGCATGCAAAGAACATCAAATTGTACCACACAGCAGAATTATGCAAACTCTGTCATAAGTTAAGGGATGCACAGAAATCTTGTATCAATAAATATTCTGCTTTACAGTGTTCCTGGATCATTTGAAGATGTGAAAGAATATTTGAGATCCAAAGATTTTTAGATAGCGATCGTCTGAAGATGCAGAGATGTGAATTCCTGTGTAGGTTACAGAGAAACAAAAATATAATTCTTAAAAGCTCAGCTAAGGCTACCACATCAGTTAAAAAAATTAATAACAAACACCCTCCTCTCCCACATACAAACTATGTCAACAAGGACAACTCACTTGGCCAGCAGCAATTACAGTGTCTGACGGACACTACACTGACTGGATCTTTTGTTTTCAAACACAGGACAAAACAAGTTCAGCATTTCTTCTCTGAAAATTTTCTCATGAATTCAAAGTCTCTCCTTCAAGTCATGATGGTATTTATCACTGGTTTTCTTCAGACAAAATAAGAAATAAAGCCCATCTGCAACACTGTGTGGTTTAGCATCACTGGTCAGTGCTGAGCCTAACATCCATCTGAAGCTGTACTCTTCCTCCATAAAGTCACCTCCCTTCATCTACTGCTGCTCTAAAATGTTTATGCCACTTAGTTGTTTTGTTTTTAACTCAAGTTCCTTCTCATTTTTTGAGCGCAGCTGATTAAACCTGAACAACTGTGTTGTTGGACGAAATATGCTGTAGCTATGAAATGGTACAGCAGGGACCAGTTTCACTGTTAATTTAAAATGCTAGAATTAATTAGGTAGTGTAAATGAAGAATTTAATAAGCACACTTTACAACCACAAGTTCTGCTTTTATTAAACACCCCTGCCAAATGAAGGCAACTATCTTCAGTCTGGTTTTCCTTGTCTCATTCCCTTAAAATCTCTGCAGTGAAAAAATAAACCAATTTTGCTATTGCAACCCCTCCCCCATAATTAAAATGTATGCCTGACTTCCATCTCCTCTCTCAAGTCATTAGCATCTTTTAAAAATGCTACTGTATATCCTGCCTGTTCTGAGAAGCTACCAAACAAAACCCAAGTTTACGATTTTGGGTTTGAATACCAAATTAAAGGCTGTCTTAGAAGCTGTCATTCCTATTCAGCTCAGTTCGGTGCACTACCAAATTAGCATAGTTTTTTAGTAAAGGAATATGCTTGTTTAAACATGTCTCTCCAAAGCGAGGGGGTAACATCACCAACCAATTTTATTGAAAACTCCTACTACTGTTCTAAGACTGCAAAAAGGCTTGGAGCAGATGTCTATTCCTGACATACATTGTTTAATCCATTTGAAAATTAATGAAAGAGTTCAGGTCATCAATTCTCTCAAAGATCCTGTACGTTTAACAGACTTTATTTACCTCAGAACTCCTTCAAAAAAGCATTTTGGAAGCCTCAAGATTATTCCACAAAATCACTACAGTTCCTTGATGGGGAAATGGAATCTTTTACCTGAACCAATTCAATCCTCCCTAGCCTCAGAAATATATTTGAGCTTTTCTACAATGTCTTTGTCTAGGCAACTATTTATTTAACCATGATTTGGTTTATGCCCTTTATTGTTTTTCTTGAAGCAACCTCTCTCTACAGCTAACTTTTCATTCTGACTCTGATTTACCTGATATTCTAGCTCAGCAAGAAGTGGGCAAGCTTACTATATCTGAAGACAAATCTTATTTTTAACAGGAAGAACACCACATTTGTGTACAGGCATAAGAAAACAGAGCACGCTTAGATGAGATTTATTAAACCATGAAGTTTTCAACAGAAACAATGCAAACTCAAAAGCAGACAAAACCTAAACTCTTTCGAATTTTCACTGTCTCAGCAGCAGTTTAAGAAATTACTGATGTTTCTGCAATACAACTTTCACTGTCAAAAAAACCCTATTGATTTTTAATAAGGAAAAAGCAGAGAACCCCTGAAAAGCCAGTGATTCCTGTAACATCTACTGTTATCCTTCCAACCCTCCCATCCCCCCAAAAAAACCCCAAAACAGAAGCCTAATGAACAGGCTTACATGATGATCTGGAAAGATGAGCTGGGTATGACCTCAGTGCATTTCCATTTTGTTACTCTCCATGTTCTAAGAACCTTTAAAAACATGAACTGCTTCTGGCAGAGGACTGCACTCGATTTACTAACTGGGAATTCAATGTGAGGAATGAACATGCATCCTCAAATTTAGTCATGTTGCACAATGCCTTGATAACAGGCCTGAAAACCTTGGCAGATGAAATTCTGTTTTCAAAAACAGTACAGATAATCTGGAGGACATCTATTTTTTTGCGAATTTGGTTCTTTTGTACTCGTATCACTTCTTAAAACAACATGCAGGGGTGATGTCCTCAAGGCATCTGTGTAAGTTTTTTTTAAAGAATGGTTTCTTTAAAGTATTTTAGTGATCAAAGATTTATGCACTTTGTATGGAAAGAAAAGGCATAGGCAGAAAAAATACCCGAGAATATGTCAGAAGATCATGTAGCAAATTTCTCACATCTTCACATACAGAGACAGAAGCCTGGAGATGGAATGAAACAAAAAGAATACTGTTCCGAGCAGATGAAGTAATGGCTCTCTATCCAAAGACAGCCAATTCCCTATGAAAACAACACTGAGTATCTAAGGTCTTGAAATTATATGGCAAGGAAGTCGCCATGAATTTGAAGGACATGGTAAGCAATAAAAGCTCGAGAAACACAAGACCTGCCATGATCAAAATCCAAGCTAGACACACTACACTCCTGCAGATGAGGGTTAAGTATTCACTTCTGTCTGAAATAACTGAACTAACCTGCAATTAAATTTCTCAGATTATTTTCAGACTAGAAGATAAAAAATGGTCTGTAGAAAAAAAGCCAAGAATAAATAAAAATCAATTTAATTTTTTCAATCTTCTTCCTTTTAAAACACCTGAAGCTATAGTCAAATCAGAAGATATATTGCAACATATACATCATGGTCAACGTGCTGAAGAAAGCTGTGCCAGACTACACTTGTGAGGACTCGAGCTGCCCTGCAGCTACTGCCATTTGTTATGTGCCTTGTGTTCAACCAGAGCATTGCTCAGGAAGTAAATAAAAGAGAAGCATTGCATGTTTAAGAGCACTAAGCAGCTCATCCTAATGCTGCCAATACAATGGCTGCCAGGATATTATGGAAGTAGGTATGAAGATTATTTTAATTCTTCATCTTTCCATGGTGCCTCCTTCCACAGAGCACGCACCCAAGTTGTCAGGAGTGCATCTGAGAGGAACAGACTCCCTTCCTGGAACCCTTTCCTCCCCAAGGCTGCTGCGCTCTGTGCTAAACATAACAGTGCTGGTGATGCACTAAACAGCAGGGAAATTTCAGCTGTTCCCCACCTACGGTGCGAGTAGACACACAACCTATAAAACGAACCTATAAAGGAAGCTATAAAAGCTGATTGTTCAGACCATCATCTTCTTGCGCATCGGTGAATTCCTGGCTGTGGCAGCAAGGATATGGAGTAGGCTAGGTGAACCTGCACCCATCCACACCTCTAGCGACACCACAGACATCTCTCTCTGCTTTGAGGCAGTATGTGTAATGGGAGGCTTCTCTTCTGAAGGCACCCACCAATGGGTGCCACTTCATGCAAAAAAGGATCACGGCACATCAAAATGTTTTCAGGGAACAGAGTTCATCAGCCAATATCCACAAATGTTCAAAGGAAATCCAGAGCAGTGTCTCCCAACTACAACCCACTGCTGTTCCAGAAGGCTGTGGTCAATAAGCTGTGATGGGCATGCAGAATGCTCTTATGTGACAGAGTTGTTAATAGGCAAAAATTTGATGAAGGTATGAGGAAACTCAGAGTCAGAACTGGGAACAGTCAGTTGTCTCAAGCCATTCAGACTACAAGTCAATGTTAAATAAAAGCAAACATGATCAGGAAAGTAAGGCCACCAGCTGAGCTCTGCTGCAAGAAGCTGCACAGTGTGTTACACACATGCAGGCTGGCAGTGTTCAGACTTCCCCTCAGATGTGTACAGATGCTGAGAGATGAGTGGCTTCTCAGCTGTTCTAGATCTAGCACCCAGCATTGAAAACTGAAGGCTTACCATTTGAAGTTGATCACTGTATCTACAGCATTCCCTGTGCTAAGCACTTGCAATAGAAGCACCAAGCTTTTGCTGACCCCAAATGAAACTGAACCTAAAGCAGGTTAAATCCACAACACGAAGCGCTTACCTGTGATTTTGTCTCTCACGAGCTTGCAGGATTCAATTTCACCAATGCTCCCAAAGAGACTCCTGAACTCCTCCTGGGTCATGTTCTGGGGTAAATAGTTGACTATGAGGTTGGTTTTGCTGTCATCTGTAGCAGCCCCTGTCTGCATGGGGGAAGGGCAGTTTCTACTGTTGCTGGAGGGTCCATTGGTTGTATTGGAAGTAGGGCCATTCGACACCTGAGGCTCCATGGTGCTAATTATCTACATCAAAATAAGAGAAAAGAGAAAAAAAACACCCTTAAGTTTCATAGATACAATAGCTATTTTTAAAGATACTCACAAACGAATGAGTAGGTAGCATTTGTGGCCAATTTAGATACTTCAACAAAAAAACCCGGCTTGATTCCTCTGTTATTGTTGCAAAGTAGGTCATGCTAGTCTTTGGCTGTGAGCATATACTAAGATGCAGTTAAAAAACCTTCTTTTTTTGTTAATGCGAAGCTGATTTCTGCTTTCATCACGCAGCCATTTTCACAAATGTAAATTTAAACCACATAAATTCAATTATAATTTAAGGTAATAATCATAATTAAAATTATAGTTCCATTAAATCAGATGAAGTAAGTGTATGGCTCTATATGAAAAGGTAAAATATTTTACCTATTTAATAACTGTATCACAGAGTGCAATGACAACAACATTAACCAGGCACAGTCAATCTGCACCATGTCATCATTCAGACTGCCTTCAATTAATAAACTGTGTCCCAAGACATACCGTTTACTGGTTCCAGTGATGACCTATATTCTCCACCTATATTTTTCACTAACGAACTGACACCTCTTTAAATAATAAAGCCCTGGATTCGCAATCTTCAGAGATACAAAGGTCTTCAGATATTTACTGGAATCAGAAAGGTTTAATCAGGGAACGGCTTATCACAGGCACAGGTGCAGGCTGGAATTATAACAAGCACATCTATCTTGAAATGTGAAACTCCAATTTTCACAGAAGAGACTCAAACAGACCTTTCCAAAAAACGACAACTAAGAACCCAGCTTAGCAAAGTGCGTTGCAGGACAGTAGTCCCATTGTCACCAGTGCCACCCGTCACATGAGCAAAGCTGCCTGCATGTTTATCTGCAGAACACAAGTTTTCAACCAAAAACTGCACAGGCAGACAAAGGAAGCAGGAAAAGCCTGGGCACTTCAAGCCTTTGCTATATAATTTGCCTCTACAGTGGCTTCCAGCCTGTCTCACTGTCACCAGTGCCGACAAAGAAAGCACATCATCTTAGTCTCAAATCTAGATAAATTAAAGCAATGCAAATGGTGGCTTTTGCTGTCTGCTGTGAAGTTTGTAATGTGCAGCTTCACTGGTATCTTGCATCGAAAATCATCCCTCAGATGGGCTCAGCCTTCCTCCACCAAAGACTCGGTCAATGATGCAAACTGCTGCCCCAGGCAGGAGACTCCACTGCCCAGGGACAGGGACAAACACAGGAGAACACAAGGCTATGGCACCACACACTCTGAACCTGGTATTCTTCGGATCCTGTAATTATTGTAATTACTCAAGACTTAATTTGCTTTCTTTTTTAAATCCAGGGAGATACATGTTATGACAAATTAGGCCTGTAATGCAGGAGGATGGGGGCACACACACACACACGCACACCGAAAAAAGGGTGTCTATTCCAAAATTAACTGCATGAGGGTGGCTCAGAGCCTAAACAGGTTATATTCCGGTCATGCCTATTCTTTTTTAAAATTGAAATGTTTCAGTGTTAGTTTAATACCTCATTTAGGAAATAACCCACTTTTTTATCAATGGAAATAAGTTTTGAATTACCATTATTTTTTATTATCAAGCCCAGGAATAGCTACTTGGTTTAACAGCTTTTAAATAAAAACAAGCCCTGTCACATTGTGCTTAACAGAAATGTCTTAAACCACACAGCAGAATCATTTTGAAAATAAACTGCACAAAAATAGGCACTTCTTGAAAGACATGGGCACATCCAAACCAGAATCCCCCTGCCAATTTTACCAGCCACGTGGCAACAAGCACTGCTGACATCCTCGGCCAAGCTGTGCCAGCCCCATACACTCCTCCTTCAAGACCTCCCCTCTTACCGCTATCGGCCAGACTTCCCTTCTTCAATCTAATTTCATACATGTATTTACTCACACGTACTACTAAATGCTTCAGATGCTGCTAAATCTGTTTAGCTCGGGATTCCAGCTGGAAGATTATCCTTTGATCTCTGCACCTCCGTGACCCCACGGCAGACACCGACACCAGCTCTACGCTTTGCCGCGGGGCTGGGGTCGCACCCCAAGGCTAACGCGCTTCAGCTCGGCACAGGGTGCTCAGAGAGGCTGTATCTGCATCAACTTCATTAAAATTGGGGGAAAAAATTCCAGTTCTGACGCTGACACAGTCAGAAGATGAGTGAAGCAGCTGACACGGTTAAGTGCAGCTTCCCATGTGCCTTTCCATCACTGGACCATATTCTTCCCAACATAAAAACACCCCACAAGATAAACTGCAGTTTTTAGGGACTGATCCTGCCCTTCTGAAGTCGGCAGGAATACCACACCGCTGGTTTCAGTTACAGCAGAAGCAGGACTTCAGCACAACACACCAAGGAAGGTACATCATCTATTATTAGCAACAGACACAAAAGCTATCTATAGTTCCCCATGGCAGACAATAACCAACTCTGGATCTTTTAAAATCTGTGAAAGAAAACAAAATTTGAAACTGGTTGGTGTCCTACTTAGGCATTTTGCAAATGCTTTTTAGTTACATTTTCAGCATGCATACCTTCCACACAAGGAAAGGAACAGAATTCAACTCAGACATTTAACACATTCAGAACATTAAGAGTAAGCTGCTCTGTAAAAATCTGTTCTTGAACAAGTACATTTCCTCATATACTTCAAAGTATCTTGGCATAAACTAATTTTGCACCAGGTGCCAGGTTTTCTTCCCAGTTACTCTCAACTCCATTTAGGTTTTCCTGATTTTTCAATAGCAGAAAGGAAAACCAAGGCACTTATTTGCCCTTCAAATTATTGCGAAGCTGCAGGTTACTGAAAATCGATTTGCTAAACATGAAAAAAGAGATAATGGATAGAGAAAAATGTTGAAGAATGATTAAAAGCATTTCCGATAAAGAATTTCAGATGTATTTTTTAACTGCATAATTTTAAGTCTCCATTTACAGAATGAATTCTATGCAAAAGCAGTTATGTACCAGAGCTTGCATTCCTAATTCTTACAGGCACAAAGGAATAATACTTACTTTAGATGTACATACTATTCTTGTGATGAGTAAAGCCTTAAATTATTAATGGTAACAAAAAGGTAAGTCCTAGCTCTCCCTTCCAAACATTTGGTCCTCTCCCTGACATGTCTGAAGCTCACGCCCAGTGAAGAGTTCAGTGTGCATGCACTGGGACATTTATTGTCAATGACTTCTTAATATTAAGCAGCTGTTGATTCCACATCAGTCAGCACATTACATAAGAGTAACATTACTTATTCAAATAGATTTCACCGTGACATTCACTAGGTTTTTATTTTTCTGTCCACAACATCAAGATTTACGCTTTTAATTCAATACCAGTATCACAACATGAACATTTCTGAAATAGGTACTCTAGTTTCCAGGGCACACTTAACTTACTTGGTTTAATTACTGGTAATAACTTTTTTAAATACAGGAAAGCATTGGGCTGCAATTCAAGCCTACCGAAATATCAAAGGAGGCTGTAAATCTGTCTAACTCATCAAGGGCTTGTTTGGATACAGGCAAAACAAATGTGGAAAATCCAACAGTGACTTAACCCCACGCTAATTTTTTAAAAACAAAATATACTGTTATCCCTGAAGATTAGTATTAAACCTCTATACCCACATAAAATTATCAATACCTCTGTGCTCTGAGCAACATCTCTTTCTGTAGACCTTCTCTGACCCAATTTAAGCAGCTACTACTGGTCTTGAAATATTACAGTGCAAATGTCATGTGTGATGACATTCACATGCTACTGGTATAAAGAGGCTTTTGGTTGGTTTTCTTTTTTTTTTTTTGCAGTAATTTGCCAGACTCCCAATCCTGCAACATGATAGTCCATATACAGGATAATATCTTTGAAGAAGAATAAACTGCAGTTACTGTTGACAGACATTCGATCATTTAGCCACCAATAATTTGAATATTCTATCTTTATAACACTGAAAAATACTATCTGTGACAGAATTTAAAGACTGCAATTTTGTAAGTTACAGGCAACCCATATTTCAAATTCTGGATGTATTTCACCAGACTGCTGCTTTTAAAAATGACGACTTCTTGGTGTACTACTTTTCTCACTATGGTAATGTATCAGCAAAGTATGAGGTATTTTAGTTTGACAGATTTCACAAAGAAATGCTTTGGGGAAGACAACATAAGCTTTGCCAGTGTTTTGCAAAACACTGCTTACCAAAAGGCTTGGTATAACCCCTCCCACAGAGCATCAGCCACAAATATCCATTAGAGCAACTCCTACATTACCAATGTTTCAGAAATACTTCTGTCATATCTCCGTTGTTTTTTTTCAATTAATTCAATTAATTTCAATTTATTCCTG